CACGTTCACACCAAATGCGATACGCAAACGAACTAGAGTAGGTTACAATCTTTCGAGGGCTAGTTTCTGTTCTCACAAGAGAGCAGATTTGAACTTTTCGTTTATCACTCGTATATTCCTATCGTAAAAGCATATAAAAACTATACATCTGTTTATAATTACTCTCTTACACCTCCTTAGAAACTGAAGCTATCACATACAGCTAGAAAACGAAATCTCTTCTGAAGAGATGTACTTGGCTGCTTTTAATTGTTAGCCTTATTTCAGTTTCTCGGAATCCACAAACACGATACACGGGTGTGGTTTAGTCGCTATTTCGCGATGGAGTCGCTTCTAAAAAACCCCAAAGAACATGTAGCGAGAGCAAAAAATTCGGTCATGCTATGAAATTCATAGAATTAATGACTGACAGACACAGAAATCAGACGATAGAGTGGTAAATCATGAATGTAAAGCTGTCAAACTCCGCGGGAAGATTGCGCGATCCTAAAGAGATGTGATTCACTGATTAAATATAAACGTTAATTTCAATTTCAGTTTCTCGAAACAAACAATGCGTGGAATTGTGTTTTTGTCTTCAGTTCGTGATGGAATCGCTTCTTAAAAACCTCGAAGAACATGTAACATGTTCGATTTGCTTGGATACTTACACCAGACCCAAGACCATTGCCTGTCTTCATACATTCTGCTGTGAATGCCTGGAGAGACATGCACTAACGAGACAAAAACAAGGGCTTTATCCATGCCCCGAGTGTCAGGCAGAAATTCGTATCCCCGAAGGAAAGCGTTTTGATAATCTGCCAAGCAGTTTTCTGCACAACAGTTTGTTGAGTCTTCTTGCCGTTCAAAACAGTGGCGAAGGAAATGAGATCAGCTGTAGTATATGCCAGAAAAAGAGCGCTGAGGTCAACTACTGCTTTGAATGCGAGAAGTTTATGTGCCCCGACTGTGCGAAAGCACACGAAGTGTTTCGAGATACTATGTTTGAGGGACACAAAGTCACCCCAGTGCGGCAGTTTAAAGACGCAGACTACGAAGCGCTGTTGAAACGGCAGTCATTTTGCTCGGTGAAGTATCACGAGAGAGAGATCACTAAGTTTTTCTGCGTGGGCTGTCAAAGCTGTGCTTGTCAAGTTTGTGTTAACACAGGCATAAAAGCCACAATGTTGTTCCGCTTGGAAAGGCAGCGGATGATGAAAAAGCAAACATTATTCTCCGAGCCGAGCTTGTTGAGCAGAAGAAAGGAGTCTGCCGAGATGTTATTCGTGAGTTCGAGAAGACGGAGCATGAGTTGGAAGCGAACATTACCACCGCTAAACGCAAAGTTACCCAAGCAGTCGAACAGATGATGACAAAGCTCAAAGAACTGGAGCATGAAGCCATTACTGCCCTTGAGAAGGCTCGTGTGTCGAGGATTGAGAAATTGAATTTTGGGAAAGCATCGGTTGTCTCTATTGAAAAGCAACTTGACCAAGCATTTGAGTTCAGTAACAACCTGGTTGAAAGAAGCTCAAGTTCAGTCGTAATGCAAAACAAGAAGAATGTCGAAGAGCGAATCGAAGACCTCATGAAGACCACAATGCCAGTACTTCCGGTTAACTCGTTTGTAGAGTTTGTGTCGACATATGAACCAGAGAGTTTGAGTTTGGGATTTACAAAGTTCAGCAAAACAGATGTACAGGGATCGACCGTGGAAGGACTGGTTAAGAATTTCCGATTTGGTGTAGAAACAGAGCTTCTAATTCGTCCTAAAACAAGCGAAGGAGAAATCAGAAACACTCGACACACAGATCGTATCGAAGTACACATAGGGCCTGCGGATCAGGTGACAAGTTTGGTGACAAGTGAAAGAGAAGATGGAGGGTTTCAGACAAAGTTTGTGGCAAAAGTACCAGGTACTTATGAAATGGAATTAAAGATAAATGAACAGAAACTTGCCAAGAGTCCGTTTTCTATTTTCCTCAAATCACGAGAGTTTGACGTTATAGGAAAGTTGGACTCTCATGGAGAAATGCTCCAGGGTCCAACTGGCATTGCAGTGAACAGTAAAGGAGTTACTGCTGTGGCTGATGTCGATGGTCATTGTATCATGGTATTTGACGACACAGGAAAATTTGTACTAACACTTGGTGTTTATGGAGACAAGGTCGGACAATTTGACAATCCCACTGACGTCACATTCGTAAATGATGACGAGATCCTGGTGGCAGATGAATGTAATCACCGAATACAGCGGTTTAATATACAGACAGGGAAATGTGTGAAAAGCTTTGGAAAAGAGGGAAGTGGAGACGGAAAATTAAAGTTTCCCACTAGTGTTTGCATTACTAGCGATGGACGTTTTATCGTGGTAGTGGATAATGGTAACAGTAGAATTCAGATGTTTACAATGGATGGTAAACCTGTGTTGAAGTTTGGAGACGGCGGCCCAGAAAGGCTGGATCAACCACTTGGCTGCGTTTGTTACGAGGACAAGTTCATTGTGACTGACAGAAAAAATGACTGTGTGAAAGTGTTTGATGAGGAAGGACAATTTTTGTACAAGTTTGGAGAAAAAGGAAACGGTGATGGACAATTGGCTCAGCCGTATGGCTTATGTACTGACAAGGATGGCAACGTGTTAGTATGTGACATGTTGAATAATCGCATTCAAATGTTTTCACTGGAAGGAAAATTCATTCGGAAGACAAGTACTGATCTTAAAATACAATTTCCTTGGGGTGTTACCACAACGCCAGATGGACAAATTTTGGTCACAGACTACAACGGATTAGAAGTGTATACTCTAAAATGATGGTATTTTTACATTTTTTTTAAGTGAAAATCAATTCTTCGTAAACAAACCTGCGCCAGTAAGTAACGCGAACTACACAACGAATACGCTTTATTCATACACGGCGAAACAAGATGGAAGATACACAATGGAGAGAAAACAGTCAGGCGTCACTCGTATGAGCGCGCGCATAAAACTAAACAAACACCGCAGGATAACCTGCTGGCGCTGTTGATTATATCTTTAAGCTTTATAAATTCTTTAATTTACTGCAAATCGTGACGTATCATGTACAGAAAGAGAATTTGAAAGAAACCGGCTGCAATCGGCAAATTGCCTTCTGAATTCCTCAGGAGAGTTCCAAGATTTTCGTGGATTCATTACTTCAGTAATGTGATTGTTTATGCTGTAAATTAATCACGAAATCGAGGCCAAAAATAGCCGATGACCTGCCAGGTCCTCTTGACAGTCCTGCAATCAACTAGTTGTCTTCTTTCAGACTTACATAACTCCAGCGTAGATTAATTGGATTAAAGGGTGTAAAGAAGGACCTAATTTAGTATAGATACCACGAAAATGAGCGGGATAATTCAATACACAACATGCAGACGACAAAGAAAAAAAAACGCTTAGAAACTCCCTCAAGATTAAGGAGTTTTGTGAATGTATAAAAGGTATTCCTATAAAATTATTATACTCTAGTGTGGATTGCTTTCAAGAAACCAAATTTTCTGCATTTATTTCTATCCGATATTTTCATGGACTACTTTTGAAGCTTGATAATAATCGTTCGCTCGTTAATTGAAGCATGAAGTGTTGTGAATTCAAAAAAGTCATTCTTGAAAAAATGGTATACATTGATCAGTGTAAATTGTTATTTTTTTGTAAGTGGCCAACTTGACATACAGGGGCGTGGCCAGCCTAGGGCCCATATGTCCGTGCCTACATTTTTTATTTCGCCCGCTTGACTTTTATAATACGACTCTTATAAATGCTGAAGCAAAAATAGTCGAAAAGCTGGCTACGCCCCTGACGTTAATTTCCTAGTGTATTAGTTTAACTAGCCTTTTTTCTCTAGTTAGATAACAGTCATTCGCTCGTCCAACGGAAGCGTCTTAAATTTTATATCGAATTACTAAATTTATACATATTGACAGTAGCTAGCATGGATAAGGCTTAGAAATTGTGAAAATCGTTAAGAACCTATGTATTTTTGTCGCCATCGTAATTTAAACGTAGAATGATGTTATGAATTCATGGAGAAAATTATTAGGATCTGATTGCTGTGCTAAGTTAAAAAAATAAAAAATGCTGGACTCTTTTCATATATATAAGCAGCAGTAAGAAAAAAGGTAGAATAATTTCGCCTAACGTTTAATTGATACGAGAGAAAAAGGTATTCCTGTACTGTTCACCTCGGCCGTTAGGCATGGAAGACTGCTTTGTTAAAGTAGTGCTTGGTACCAAAAATCCATTTGTTTTGCTCCAACAAATTGACAACTTTCACTTTAAGTCATATTTTTTTAAGTATATACTTGGCATTTTTTGCATGCAGGGATTTTCATGAAGAAGCTCGTTAGACAATCATGAAAATGTTAATCGATGGAATGAATTACCGAAATTGTAGGATATTTTTTCTGTATAACTGTTCTAGAGTGCTTGTCCTTTAGTTTTGTATACTGTTGACCTTTGTTGAAAGGAATATCTTGCTGAATGCTTTGCGGCTGAATTTACCCGTTTGTGACCAAGGTAATATGTGGATGAATCAATATAATTTATAAGAAAAATTTAAAATTTGAAAAGTTATTCGTAATAAAATGTTGTGTTTGTCGTCGAATTTAAAAAAAAA